AAATTGACTCAGAAATTTTATTATTAACGCATTTTATTCGCATTTTTTATTCGTGAAATTCTCTCGTCGAAAATGTGATTGTTTCTTGTCGATAACACAGGTTTTCGAGATATTCTAACCTAAAAGTTCAAAAAGACGTTATCTGAAGAAGGTGAAAATTTTGTCGGTCTGTGTAATGTGAATGAAAATATATTGTCAATAGAAAAATATTGAGAAAATTTTTTAATTTAAATTCAGCGACTTTTGTATTTCTCGCTGTCAATTGAAGGTCGAGGAAAACTTGTGCATTATTGTACCCGCGAGGGTAGCACAATTGACTGGAGAATCCGGTATCAAGTCTATAAAAGCATGACCTGATATTGCCAACTCACCCCGCATATATGAGCGAAAAGTTCTCTCTCTTTTTTCCTCTTCTCGTTGCGACTATAAAACTCTTACTGTTATTATACTGGCGAAAATGATTATTAATATATAGATAGAGAGGAATATAACGTCATTTATTGTTGTATAGGTTCCCAACCATTTTCGAATAAACCGAGGTTCTCTATATACTTGAATGTACTTTCATGACTACGACGTGTCCGAGTAGCATGTCGCTATGGCAACGAACCCTCGACGAGTTTTCACTGGTTCTCAACCTCCGGCACTTGTTAAAGTACTTTTGAGAGTTTTCTCACTCACTCCCGGGAATAAGTGGGCAACGCTTTCCGTTCCAGTTACACATTACCCTAAATCACCTTTTTTAATGATCCAAGAAAAGTAGTATATCTTTTCTCTTTGCATAAAAATTCACCCTAATTCAAACTTAACAAGAGCCATTTAATATATATTTTTTTAAAATTATTTTTAATAATACACGGAATTATACTTTTGTAGGTTTTATAAAAAATTAAAAACTTTGACTTATTGGATTATTTTTAATCTTTTATTTTTTCTCCTGTAAATAAATATTCCACTGAATATTTACATTTGTTATATTTCGAAGTAATAATTTTTTGAATCATTTGTTTCCCCCCCCCCCTGTAATATAATGTAAACTTATTTTCCAACAAGTGTTTTACATCAGGGGTGGTAGACGAGAAGAAAAAAAGTAAGGAACTAGTATCTCAAATATAAGAGGCCATATATTTTCTGGGCGACACTGGCACGTATAAATGTCTTACTAAAATGTGCATTTTCTACTTCGATTTTTCACGTCAATGAAGATTTAAGACTATCCGGCGCTCTAAGTAGAAAACGGATGTTATAGTCAGACATGTTATCGAGTAGGGAATGAAACTAAGGTGAAAAATAATTTTATTCATTTATTTTATTGATTGTTTTGCCATTAATCTTTTGTTCTAGTCATCGAATTAAAACTATCGTTAGTGATTAATATTGTCGTTTATAATTAACGTTGATTAAAATTATCGGCAATCGTTATTTTCATTAGACTTTTACTACTGTCGATAATAAATTATCGTCGATCTCAACTACTGTCGATAATAATTGGTATTGATTTTATCTACCGTCGGTAATAACGGCTATCGATTTTAACAACTGCCGGTAATAATTGCCAACTATTTTAACTACTGTCGGTAAATTATTTTCGATTTTAACTACCTTTAATTTTTGTAAAATGAATTGCTAAGAAAAATATCATTAAATTGAATAAGAATTTGTGTATAATGTATTAAGGAGGTATTTGTAGTAGATGACAGAACTTTAGGAAAGTGTGCAATACGTTCCACTTTTACCATGTTTCCTTCTCGACTGTAGTAGTGCAGTGATGCCAGGACTTATTTAATATTAAGACATTCAAGCTTGAATTGCCTCCTCGACAGCAGATATTAAAAGTGATTAAAGTTTGAAAAAAAGAGAACTGAGCTTTAAAGTGGTTCCTTGAGTTTTGAAAAAAAATACAATGAACCTAATTAACTGAGAATTCATCTAGAAGTTTCTATAGTTTTCCGTTTAATTGTTCTAGAATATATAGATATATATATATATAGGTAAAAATATTGTCATCCTTAAAGAAGAGAAGCACTCTGAGCTGCCCATTAACCCAGATAAGTTTTCGAATTGCTCACGTGGTAATGTGCGGTAGCTTTTCATATAGGTATGGTTACGTTAAGGTAGACTTCACCCCTCTCATATTCTCTCCTTCTCTTTGGAATGAGAGAAGCTGGATAATACAGATTTCAATAGAATCGGCGAAAATGGGACGGTTACCACCATATTATATAGAATTCCCATTGACTGTTGTCAGTTATTGAAATGAATTTAATTACATTGAATTTTCCATATATATTTCCCTCAATATTTTATTTTCATTCATTTTTCTTCTCATTCATCATTAAAAAAAATAATTTTTTTCTTCAATAAAAATATGTTTTTAATAAACATTTTCTGTTATTTAAAATAAAGTTTTACTTTTAAATATATATGAATTAGAAAATGATTTGAAATATTTAGAAAGTTCTTAATTTCATTTTTTGTCCTTGCTGTAAGATTGTGAAATAAATAATTCTTCTTAATTTTGCGCAATTACGTCCATTTTACATGAAGCAAGTGACTCCTGCAGAACAATAAATTTCTGGAATTCAATAAATCATCTCTCTGAAATCCAAGCATTTCTAGCTCGGCATACAAGAGCTGTTTCCCTCAACGATTTTGCTAACCTCCTTCGTGATTTACTTTCCTCGCCATCCTTCATCAAGCTTGGCAGGAAACTTCAAAACTTTGGACTCTAAAACGAGGTTCCACATAAAACGAGACTATATGTATATGTAGAGGTGCTGCGTATTTTTGTCGTGTAAATACGTGCGACACATACGTTTATACGTATTTTGAAAAACGAGAAATTTTAAAATCAAGTTAATTAGGAGAGAAAGATATTTTTCACTGGATTATATATTCATCCTATTTCATTTTTTTTCTAAATTCCAAAAATTTTGTTTTTGTTAATATTTATTATTTATTCCTCCAATGAAAAAAAAATTGTTAATATTTTACTGTGTGAAAAAATTGCATTAAATCTGACAACTTTAAATGCATGTACTTGTATCTTGTGAACTTGAAAATAGGCATACGCATCTACACATTTAGCGCTGAGTGGTGATGTTGTTACACGTGCAAAATGAACATAAACGCGTTGTTAAGAAAAACTCGAGAGTATCTGAGTAGAACTCTCACATTCTCAGCTGCAAAACCCTTCTCTCTCTCTCTCTCTCTCTCTCTCTCTCTATCTGAAAGGTTGCCACGACGCTTTACCACTCGACGCTTCAATGAGTTTAGGGCAAACATTGCATTTCAAGTTTAAGGCACTTTCTCTATATACCATTTTACCCCAGTGTACAATGTACAAACACTTACACAACGGTCCATATTCTAGAAGTTTACAAGTAATTTATGTATATATATATACATATATATATATATATTAGCAAAGCTTTTGAGTAGGCGATGAGAAGGTTTTGGGGCAATATGGGGTTTGGCGGGTAACATTCCGGATATTTAATCCTAGGATGCACCTACTGAAACTTCCAAGGTTATATATATGTAGAGCCCATTGCAAATTGAGTAATATTTTAAGTAAACAAAACTCAAGAGGGTTAACGTGGTCCGCATCTATATAATGAAGCAAATCATTACGCGACAGTTACTCTAATTAAGGGTTCAGACACGAATGATGGAAACTTCGGGGCTTTTATATATAACTGAGCCTCGAGTTTGTTTGATCTCCACTTCAGATTCCTTTTGAAGCCCTATCTCAAACACGCTCCTTTTATTTTCAGTATTACCTTGTCTTTTATTATTATTGTTTACTAGATATATTTCATCATGTTTTTCCTTTTTGTTTTTTTTTATAAAAAATTAAAGTGACTAATTACTAATAACTAATTTTCAATTATTAATTTTTATTATGTATATTAATGCATGTCCTTATGTCAATTAAATGATATACTTATTATAATAAGTATTATTATTATAAGTTGAGAACCATTAAAAAGGAGACTGATTCATGTGATTTGATTATTAACCTGGAAAAGAATGTCGAGTAAACATTTTTTTTGTCCTACCTGCACGGAAAGTGTGTTATTTCGTGCACTTGAGGCGGTCGCAAAGTAAGTGATTCCCGCCCAGAGATGGGGTGAGCGGGCGCAAAGTACATTCGCGCCCGCTGACGTCATAGATGCGGGCGCAAAGTACATTCGCGCCCGCTGACGTCATAGATGCGGGCGCAAAGTACATTCGCGCCCGCTGACGTCATAGAAGCGGGCGCAAAATACATTCGCGCCCGCACCATTAAAAAATGTATTGTTTTCATTTTTTGTGACATAATAAACATACATAGTATACGTAAACAACTACATGTAATTTACCTTAAGTATATTATCTTCCCAACCCTGATGGAACATTGAAACAAGCGGACTTGCATGCACTCAATAATACACTTTCCATGCAGACAGGACAAAAAATGTTGTTCGCAGCACGGGCGCAAAAGGTGATAGTGTCTCAGGCGAGATTATGAAGAAACCTCGGCGACCCTACGCACCCTCGGCTTCGCCTCGGGCGCTTCGGGTCCCCTTGGTTTCTCTAATCTCGCCTTCGCCACAATCACCTATTTTGCGCCCTTGATACGAAAATAACTATTATTTGTATTCTTTTTCCAGTAAATTTACATTTAAGAGTGTCGCGCAAGAAAGATCAGAGCCAAGTTATGAGAACTGTCAGGGAGAATCAAATCGTCGGCAAAAGAAAATTGCTTCCATGGAATATATATATATATATATTGTTGGCAATTTTCACTCAAAGCCTTTAATTATCATTTCAAGCGGAAAATCTCCCTTGAGATGTTTTTTACACTGAGATGACGTTTAAAGTCTAAAGAAAGACTTATAAGAGAAAAAGATACTTGTGACCAAGTAGTTGTATGAAGAAAAAGCGATTTTTTAAATTCTTTATATCTAATTATGAAAAATATAATTAATTTTTTCTCGTGCTTTTATTTTTTGCAGGAAGATGCGGACATGGTTCACCCTGTGAACAATTGTGTTACGAACTTCACGATGGTATGTACGAGTGTGACTGTAGAGATGGATATATTCTTCATAAAAATGGATACAGCTGTGCTGGTGAGTCATTTAATTGTTTCGTTTTTAATTTAATTTAGATTTAATAGATTTTTCTTTATGAAACACATATGTATTTATAAAGGGGATTTTTATTTTACCCTCTGTGTAATGATGATTTATCTTCAAATTAGCGTTATAGAACGTAATTCCCCTGTTATAAACCTCCCTTTCCCCTTGCGTACGCCTCTTTTTTTTAATTAATTAACTTGTTAGAAACATTTTTTTACCACAACATCAATAATAGTATTACGCCGAAAAAAATATTCTGAAATTTAGAATATATGGACTTTTTTAAAATATTTTATACTTAAATTCAGTATGTAATATTCTTAAAATTAGAATATATTCAAAATGTTTTTTTGTGTATTATATATATTTGCCGTGTTTCTCGAAAACAGTCAGTTATAATATATAATAATACAAAACAATAGTATAATACTATTTGTTGATGTATTTGTAGATATTATGAAATATGTAGAGATTCTCGAAATAGATAAATTTAATTTTAACTTTTCTTAAACAATTGCTTTAATAAAGTGTTTATAACGGTGATGTGTGTACGTGAATCATTGTTTGTATGAGCACTGTCTTGTGTGAGTTGTTTGTGTATACACAATCATGAATGAGAATAAAGAATATCAAATGAGCAGTGGCAAGAGAAGGGACTTTCCACTTTGCAAAATACAAGCATACAATTCCAAGTGTGCGTATGCATTTCTTTATCGTAGTGTACACTTGCGCTCTGTCTTCGGATAAACTCCCCCACGTATATATATATATACATATTATAACTATACTTTGAAACGAGTAAATCCCTGGATGAAGAAAACTTAGTGATTCCCAGTGGACAAGATACCGGTTTCTTTTCATCGGCGTTCGTATATAAATTCTCATCCAGATATGAAAATTATCAAACTCGAGCTAACTGCCGAAGAAGTAATTACAATTGGTAAATATTATTGAAATATTTATATATTTTTAAATATTTAAATTCTTTACTTTCCAAATCTAAATTAGTTACAAAGTAAATCTAAAATAATAATTAAAAAAATAAATATTAAACACTGATTTTAGAAACAACTGTAAAATGAAGTGCACTTTGGTACTGGCTCTCGTAGCCACATGTTTGTCTTTATCCCTTGCACATCTTCCAAAAAGACAAGGACCACCAGTCTTGATTGTAAGTTGAAACATTATTCTAGATTACAAACAAAAAATATTATTTCGAATATATTGCGCGCTGCAGTGATGGTAACCAATGAAATCACTGTGAGCTACAATGAAGGAGGAGCATCAGGTAGTGCACAGTGTGACAAGTTACCCCCACTCTTCGCAAGTACACTGCGTAGTTGTAACTAGAATGAAATTTAATCCATTGTAGAATCGTCCACCACCACCTAAACCGCATCACTATGCAAGAGAAGCCAATCCTCAAGGATCAGTCAGCGCTACAGTTCAGCAACCATTGAGTGGTCCAGATCGTCGGCCAACTTACAATCTTGATTACAATCACAACATTTGGGAGGGCAAAAATGGACACGTTTCAGCCTCAGGCGGTGCTGTCAAATTACCTGGGCAAAGATGGGAACCCCAAGTTGGAATCCAGGGACAGTGGCGATTCCGAAGAGAAGCAAATCCTCAAGGATCAGTCAGCGCTACAGTTCAGAAACCATTGAGTGGTCCAGAGCGTCGGCCAACTTACAATATTGATTACAATCACAAAATTTGGGAAGGTAAAAATGGACAAGTTTCGGCAAGTGGTGGTGCTGTCAAATTACCTGGGCAGAGATGGGAACCCCAAGTTGGAATTCGAGGACAGTGGCGATTCCGAAGAGAAGCTAATCCCCAAGGATCAGTCAGCGGTACATATCAACAACCATTGAGTGGTCCAGATCGTCGGCCAACTTACAATATTGATTACAACCATAAAATTTGGGAGGGCAAAAATGGACACGTGTCAGCATCAGGTGGTGCTGCCAAATTTCCGGGTCAGAGATGGCAACCCCAAGTTGGAATTCAAGGACAGTGGAGATTTTAATCAGAAATCTGATTCTGAAAATAATTCAGTATTAAAGACTGAGGATTATCTTGTAAATAGATAGATGTAAATATTTTTTTAATTCGTGAATAAATTATAAATTAGAAAACAGAATAATTCTTGTGCAGTTTTAGATTTGATCTTTCAGATAATGAATATTGGAAAAGCAATAGTTTTTCGCTAATTTGTTGCTAAAAGCAGATTATGTAACAATTTTACAATATTTTATACTTAAATGTAATATTTTTGAAAATTAATTAATTTCAGTTTACGGGTTTTTCTCCTTAGAGAGTCTTAGAAGTTCTATTTTTTTCTTTTTTGATTTCCAAAAGCATCTTTGCCTCTTTCCGTTTTTTTGTGGTTAGAGCATTTATACGCCTCTGCGGACTATTTATTTTCTTGAGCCTCTCTATTTATCGTCATGCCAACTTATCCATAGAGTATATACTCTTCTCTCTATCTCTCATCGAGAGGACTCTTCGAACTCTTCCTCTTAAAGAAAGAAAGACTCCATCCGGATTACTTGAGTCTTGGCCCCAGGCTCATTCAACTGAGATAAACGCGAGATCCTTCGCTCTCATCTTCGACCCGGTTCATCCTTTCCTTCCTTCCTCTTTTACTTTCTTTTTTTTCTTGTTTTATTTCACTTACGTTCGCCGAGACCATGTCGAACTCAATTTCACTCTCTCGCCTTTCATCACGTCATAAAATCGTTTCGTCGAGTCGACCCTCTACCAAAAAATATCCGAAGCTAATGCCCCACACCTTGTCGAATGAGGGATCCCAAAATGTATATATATAGAGGACGGGAACTTCGTCTGTGAAAATATCCACACTCCATTGGCCAGACGAGTTTCTCTCTCCTCTGAAATTTCCAATTTTTCACGAAAATACATGTCTCGAGTTGATTTCATTTTCCTTTCTTGAAAATTGCCAGTTGAAACGATATTAGAAGTGATATTCCGCTCGAATGGAATAGTTGCCCCAAAAATCAATAGTTTGTCGATTTATAAAGGTTAAGGTTGATTAAAGACGATACACGTTGAAAGGCTTATCTTATAAATTAATTACACGGAGAAAAAGGATTTGTTACATGTATTTTTTTTAGAAAAAATTTAATTTTTTTCTTTATTTAACTTGATCCCTTGAAAAAAATGTATTGACTTAAACATTCAGCTCACAGAAGGGAAGAAATAGGCATATATTGGAAATTCCAGGTGAAATAGTTTGAAAACTAAAACAAAAAATGGGGGAAAAATAGTTATTTAGTGAAAAAGCATAAGAGAGGGTATTTTGACAAATTGCTTCTTTGCTGTAGTGTGCGTGTATGTGTGTGAATCAGCAAAAAAAAAAAAAAAAAACATTTGGAAAGAGTTCTTCGTTGCTTTTCGCCATCTCGACAGGTCTGAAAGATTTTCCCCGAGTTTCATGGTATAGAACTAAAACGCGATCCATCATCATTTACTTGATCTTTGACATGAAGCCACTCGTCAGACTACATATATAACGTGTCCTAATAGATCACTTGATTTATCTCTGGATCAGTTGACTAATGCCATTTTATTCTTATATACATTCCTGGAAATAGTTGATGTTTGTTTTCTGAATATTAATGAAAATTGAAATTTTATAGTTTTTTTTTGCAAACTTTTAGGTCTCTAAAGAGAATAAAATAGAAAATTATTTTGCCAAGTTATTTTTTTTTTTAGTGAAAAATACTTAAGTTTTCTATTATATTTCTGTTTGAAAATAAAACTGACAGAATTTTTTATTAAAAATATTTGATACTATTTTTTTCTTTTTGTTAATTAAAAAAGAATGTAATTGGTAAAATTCCAAACACGCGAATTTTGCCTAGATGTGGGTGATAAAAAAAAATTAGAAACATTGTAGATCGTATATCACGTGCGGGACGCTTTGAAGGGGATGTACGAAATAACAGGGTGTCACGTCGACGTGGAATAAGAAGAGGAAGATTATTGGAAATGCATTTATTTCACGTCATCGGATGCCCACATCTACGAAAAGTGTTTTCCCAAGCACAAACGATTGCGGATGAAATATAATCGCAACTAAGTCACATAAAGTCATACAGTATATTAATATTGACACCGTCACTGATTTCATTCAATTTCTTTTCAAATTACAACTTTGCAATATGCCAATAACTTTAAAAGCGGGAATAATACACTGAAAGAAATTTTTCGTTTTTTCTGCCATAATTCTTGCTGTTTCTGTCATATCGTATAACTGAATTAACATGGAACTGTTACTGCCATACAGTTCGGGTAATCCAAACAAACGAATAGTACTTCCAAAGAGCAAGATGTCTGAATCAGACTTCACATGGCTAATATAACCTAACAAATTTATGGCTCGATAGCATTTCTTTCCGTGTAATAATAATTTATTATATTTATTATAATAATAATTATTATTTTTATAGTTTTTTTTAATGATTTCTGTTTTAATTATAGAGAATAATAAATTTTTTAATATTACTGCAGACAGAAATAATCTATTCATAAAAAAAATCCCTGCTCAGGACGTACAAATTAAATTTTCTATCATGGAGAAAGTTTGCAGTAGCAATTTTAAATAAAAAAAAATCCCTTCGAGAATCTGTTGGTAAATATAGGGAACTTTATAAAACCCTATAACGAGTGATTAATATTAATACGCTTAACTTGAATGTAAGCGCGAGTTTTAAACAGTTTTTTTCTTATGAATGCTTGGGGAGTATTTTATCACTTTATGTGTATAAACGATATGAAAAAATTTTTAAATTGTTTTTCAATTTTTTCAAGTGATAATCAATCGACAAAAGCCATCTTTTCAAAATCTCATTTTAACAGATTATTATTCATATGTCCGAAATCATCTATATATATATCCGCACATTTTCATTTGCGTGAAATTTCATTTCTCTGAATATTCGCAAAAAGTGGCACGAAATTTCATTTTTATCGAATTTCAATTTTTTTTTATATGCGCCTGAAAATTCATTTGACTGATTTCAATTTTTCTTCTTCCTCTATTTGCCTAATATTGTTTGAATCGCAATATTAAAATAGGACAAATTAACAAAAAATAATTATTATGTAATTTTGAAAATCAGTAAATTTGTTTATTTGCGAACAGTGAGTCATTAGTCGAGAATGTTGGATGGCCTTTGTTTCACTCGATTAATCAGGTTTTGCACCTAAACGCTCGTGACCCCCTGGGGGAGTCATTCTGATTGGCTTGTCGACGGAAACGGAAGCCAAGTTGCAGTCCGATTTGAGGTTTCCATCTCTCATCCGGTGGCTTCTGAGCTTCACCTCCGGGACCAAATGTAACTGTGTTTGTTTTCGAAAATGTTGTGTGTTGGTAGTCCACTTTGTAGAACGGATGACATTCTAGACTCGAGTGGTTTGCCAACCTGGCCGTTCACAGTTTCACTGGTATTGACCTCTCAACAAAACTATAGGAGTTCCCTTTCGCAAAGCTATATATACTCTATCAAAGGTTTGTAAATTTTTCCCTTTAAAAAAAGTGGTGAAATTAGATATTTAACTCTGTTGGGAATTTATCCAATTCAAAATTTTTCAAATTATTTAACTCCATTTTTCATACAAAAAGGTTATTGCTTTTTCAATTTTCGTTAACTACACAAGGTTAATTTATTAAATGATTTATAATTTATTTACAAATTTAAAAAATACAATTTTTGAAGGATACAGTCTTTAATACTGAATTATTTTCAGAATCATATTTCTGATTAAAATCTCCATTGTCCTCGAATTCCAACTTGGGGATCCCATCTCTGCCCAGGTAATTTGACAGCACCACCACTTGCCGAAACTTGTCCATTTTTACCTTCCCAAATTTTGTGATTGTAATCAATATTGTAAGTTGGCCGACGATCTGGACCACTCAATGGTTGCTGAACTGTAGCGCTGACTGATCCTTGAGGATTTGCTTCTCTTCGGAATCGCCACTGTCCTTGGATTCCAACTTGAGGTTGCCATCTCTGACCCGGAAATTTGGCAGCACCGCCTGAGGCTGAAACGTGTCCATTTTTGCCCTCCCAAATTTTGTGGTTGTAATCAATATTGTAAGTTGGCCGACGATCTGGACCACTCAATGGTTGTTGATATGTACCGCTGACTGATCCTTGGGGATTAGCTTCTCTTCGAAATCGCCACTGTCCTCGAATTCCAACTTGGGGTTCCCATCTCTGCCCAGGTAATTTGACAGCACCACCACTTGCCGAAACTTGTCCATTTTTACCCTCCCAAATGTTGTGATTGTAATCAATATTGTAAGTTGGCCGACGATCTGGACCACTCAATGGTTGTTGATATGTACCGCTGACTGATCCTTGAGGATTTGCTTCTCTTCGGAATCGCCACTGTCCTTGGATTCCAACTTGAGGTTGCCATCTCTGACCCGGAAATTTGGCAGCACCGCCTGAGGCTGAAACGTGTCCATTTTTGCCCTCCCAAATTTTGTGGTTGTAATCAATATTGTAAGTCGGACGACGATCTGGACCACTCAATGGTTGCTGAACTGTAGCGCTGACTGATCCTTGAGGATTGGCTTCTCTTGCATAGCGATGCGGTTTAGGTGGTGGTGGACGATTCTACAATGGATTAAATTTCATTCTAGTTACAACTACGCAGTGTACTTGCGAAGAGTGGGGGTAACTTGTCACACTGTGCACTACCTGATGCTCCTCCTTCATTGTAGCTCACAGTGATTTCATTGGTTACCATCACTGCAGCGCGCAATATATTCGAAATAATATTTTTTGTTTGTAATCTAGAATAATGTTTCAACTTACAATCAAGACTGGTGGTCCTTGTCTTTTTGGAAGATGTGCAAGGGATAAAGACAAACATGTGGCTACGAGAGCCAGTACCAAAGTGCACTTCATTTTACTGTTGTTTCTAAAATCAGTGTTTAATTTTTATTATTTAATTACTGTTTTTGGATTTACCTGACAATTGTTTTTTATATTGTTTTTAAAAATACCTTTGTATCTACAAGGGTATTTTTAAATAATTTTGAAATTATTATTAATGAATCGCTACCTCTGAATAAAATGAAGCAGTATTGTTCCATTTTATTTATAATATATTGTTTTTCATATCATTTAATTTAATGAATTTGTTTGTTATTTTTTGTGTTAATATTTGAATATATTAATTAATATTTCAATAGTAAGTTTAATATATATAAATGTATAATTAAATGGAGCTTACCAAATGTTACTGCTGCTTCTACAGTTAGTTCGAGTTTGATATAATTTTCGGAGCTGGATAAGAATTTATATAGGAACGTTGATGAAAAGAAATCGCCATCTTGTTTTCGGGGAATCACTAACTTTCCTTCATCCAGGGATTTACTCGTTTCAAAGTATATAGTAATATTATATATTTATTTGCAGACAACTGCAAGTGTGCAGAATTATATAGAAATGCTCACGTATAAGGAATTGCATGTTTGTATTTTGCTAAGTGGAAATTCCCTTCTAACTTGCCACTGCACTGCTCATTTGATTCTTTATTCTCATTCATGTTTGTGTACACAAACAACTCACACAAGACAGTGTTCATTCAAACGATGATTCACAAGTGTACACACATTACAGTTACAATCAACTTTATTAAATCAATTGTTAGAAAATAAGTTCATACTAAATTAAATTTTTAAAATATTTTCTCTATATTCTATATTCTAATATTTTATAATACAATTTATTATTTTTATTATTATTATAATTATCACAAAAATTTTTGCAAAAGTTTTAACAGCATTTGTTTAAAGTTCATTATCAGCAATAATTCTGACGCACAAAAGCGATGAACGGTGTAATTGTTATGTCAATATTTTTTTCATCTTATTAAAGATGAGTCTTATCGCATACTAAAATACTAATTTAAATCAGCTGGGATTCACAGTTAATATTTACATTTTTTTCCCCGTTCTTTTTTATTTTTTATTATACCACAAAAAGTCTTTTTTATTTTTAATATTTTTTTTGTAAGGAATTTAAGTTTTTTTTTTTGATATGCAATTGAGTCATTTTTCTTAATTCTTTATTAATAAAAAAAATTCATATTTCTCTATGTATAAGAAATATGGAATTAAGTTTTTTCTTCATATAAAATTGAGTAATTTTTTTAAAATGTTCATAATATTGAAAATTTTTTCTGTATTTGAGAAGAATTTCTTCTTTTTTTTAAATTTGTGAAAAAAATATTAATGCGTATATATGATATGGATGAAATGTAACAAAAAGTTTGAAGTTTCATAGTAGAAAACTCGTGTGAATGAGGCTTTCATACATAATTGTACGCGAACTTTTTTTTTATATAAAGCACAAAGGCCTAGTGAACTGGTGAACTTTTACGAGTGGCCTCTCCAAGCTTCTTTTTTTACGTTTATTTCAAAAGTCTATCTTTTTTTTCGAGAGAGTATCCCATCGTATATATAAAACCCATACCCTCTCTCTAAATCTGAATCAGTAGAAATTTTACTAATTCAATCAGTACTTTTCATTTTAACTGAAGTTTCAGTGATTTTTTGAAATTTACTAATATAATTAGTGAATATACAAGCAATAGAAAATAACTTATGTAAAACAGTAATTTGTATATAACATAACCTTTAAAATTAACTATTAAATCAGTAGATTTTGCGGCCGCCGCCATATATTTATATTACTGATTCAATCGGTAATTGATATTTTACTATAATTGAATCAGTAAATTTCTACTAATTATCAGTTGCTCAATTCTCGCTATGGCAATTAGTAGATTTCTACTGCTAATCAGTGAAATATGACTGATTCAGATTTAGAGGGCTCGATGTCTCTATAGATTCTCAGAGGTTTCTGTCAGCAGCTATCGACAGTTTTGATATTAATAAATAAAGTTCTTCTTGAAACGCGCGTATATATATAACTCAATATATTTCAAACCACATTTCATGATCAAGATTAATTCAACTTTTCATCCCCCTCTTTTGTAAAATCAAAACTTGAATTTCTATATATCTCTAATCTTGCAAACTTCTCAAATCGCTTTTTCGATATTGATTTGCCTCGAAAGACATTAAACTTTACTCCCATATTAATTCTATATCTGGTTATACTATTAATCAGGTAAATTTTCCTGTTTCTGTATATAGAAAATTCATGGGTTGATTGGAAAATGTTTTGAAGTCGAATCATTTATGCTAAAATTTAGAGGAATTACAAAAAACGATAGATTATTTATTTTTTAATAATTTTTTTCTTATTTTTATATATTTTATTTATTTTATCTATTTGCTGATATCGCGATATAAATAAATATCTTTTCTTCTGTCCGGTATTTTTTTTTTGTGTGAAAAGCGGGGAAAAACTAGACATGATTTTTGCATCAAGCAGTGTTGAGAGTTGAGGATTATCGTCATAAACAATAACCTTCATAATGGTGATACCTTGAGTGATAAAGCTCATGCAACTTTGTAAAGCTCGGGCCACAAAAAAATTTTCTGAAATGCGACACCTCACACACGCTCGTAGTAAATAAAAAAAAAAGAAAAAATTCACCACGTATTTTTGACATTTTTTTTTGTTTCTTAATAATTAGACACCTACCTACATTTATTTCAATATACTATTTTTTTCATTATTATCGTCACATTTTTTTTGGGAAAAAAAAATTTGTTATAAATATTTTTTTATAAAAATAAAATCAACGTTTTTATAAAAAATTTCTTTATAGAAAAATTTTTTTAACATATATGTATCTATTAGTGTTTTTCCTTAATATTTTCATTCATGTTTTACACGTGTCACAAATTTAGTATAGCTTTCAGGAAAACTTGCAATTTTCCAAACTTTTGGTTTGAAAGTAACAAAAGTTTTTCTTTGTTATAACACTACCTACCACCACTACTACTACCATACCGAGCGGAAAACGTCGGGTGTTCCTAACGATAAAAGCCCAAGAATATATATGAGCAAATATGAATGATTTCGACTTTCAACTTTAACAATTTCCCAAAAAACTTGCCAAGTTTTTACTCTATTTTATAACTGAGTCGTAAAAATAAACTTTTATCCTTTTTCGATTTTTACATTTCGCGATACAATAAAAATGACATCATTTTCAAATTTAATTTCAATGGGAAAAACAAAAAATTTCATTTTTATACATAGAAGAAAAAAATATTTTATAATTATTATATTATATTTATATTTTATAATTATTAAATTATAAAAAATTAATTATTTATTATTAGCTTTTAAAGAAAGTATTATATATATTATAAAATTCAGTTATCAAATTTTTTTTTATTATGAAAAGAGTAAATGGAGTAATAAAATAATATAATAATAAACTACATCAAGGTGTTTGTTGCGATACTTTATGGAGATAATTTATTTCTTGGGTTTTTTTTTATAGACTGAACTTAATATAATTCAAGTAAAGTGACCTCCAATAAAAAAGTATTTAATTTATAAGCGTAACAATTAACCAGTGACCTGTTATGAAGCCCTTTTAATGAAGATTTCTTTAGATTCTATTTTTATCAAAGGTTTTAAATTAAATCAATATAATTTTAAAATAATGCCCATATAACGTCCTCCAAATATAGGATTGTAAATTTCTCCAATATATTTCTTTTCGATAAAAGATAATTTTTAAAAATAGTTTTTTTAAAATGAGAATATTATTCAATATAGAATATATTATATGTAAAAATAAATCATTAATTAATTAATTATTTAATTACTAATTTTATCGAAATTAGTGTTCTAAATTAATTAAAAATATTTAATCATACTGTATTAGAGAAATTTATTTTTTCTTTTCTACGTGTATATATAATGCTCTAAATTATAATAATAGAAGTTTTTTCGATGCTTTTCCTTACAACCGGATGGAAGGAACTTTATCCGGATGGGTAATTCATTACGTTGCCTCGCTAGGTTTAATCTCTATGCAAATTTTGCGGTGAAAAAAAAAATAATGATTCGTTTAAGCAGAAAAATATTTATTTGCCAAGAAGAAGCTTTATACTGCTTTTTCTGGAAAATAAATTATTGTTTTTCATTGCAATATACCTTGAAATGTCTCTTCATCTTTCTTGTTTCTTTTCGGTATGAATCTCTATACCTTTTGCATATTTATAATAAAAAAAATTTCCTAACTTCGTATTTTGCATTTTGAATTTTTATAGAATTAAAAATTTATCCAATATAAGAAGAAAAATGATTTCAAAATTTTAAGATTAAAAATAATTTATAATAAGTAATTAATTTAATTAAAATTAAAAAACAAATGTCTTTTTATTATTTCAATCTCGAAAGTTTCTTGAGAAATCTGATCCGAGATTTAAAAAAAAAACTTAATTTACAATTTTGAATGGATTTTTTATGCAAAAAGAAAAGTGTTATCTTTTCTTTGTCGCGATGGTAAGATAAAGAAGAACATAGGGAAGCACACACATAGTGAATGCATTTAGAATTTTCTCTTATGTAGTTAGAGAATATCCAAGAAAATGACGACCGGGGTCGTAACTAGTTTTGCCTCTCTCTCTCTCTTATGCACTTGACGACGTATCTCTCAACTATTCGTCAGACGCATTAAATTGCAAACTCAAATGGATTTGCCTAACTCGCAAATTCCCGCTTCAGCCATCTTGCGCGTTTGGAAACTTTCGTTCGAGGTTTTAGCAGATTATGCGAAAAAAATTGTCTTGAAAAAAAAGTCAGGCTACACTTTATCCAAGAATATTATTGTGTGGCTTCGATTCTCGTAAAAAAAAGTTTCCTCCCCCCTCTTGAAACTTTAACGAGTTTGAATATTAACTATTCCGAAAGATGTGAAAAAAAACAATGTTTACTATGTTTTTTTCTTCTCAAGAAAAAAAAGTTACTTTTAAGAGTTTTTAATCCAGTAATAAAAAGGCGATTTTTGAGGAATTTCTTTTTCTTTTTGGAATTTCAATTTGAATTATATATTTATATGTTTTGCTGTAGGACGGATAACTTGCAATAAATATTTTTTCGCCAGCAAAGTGAAATGAGAAATATCGTAAATAAAAGGCGACTATCTCTCTTTTTTTTAAAATATTTCGTTCACATGAATGTTTCAATCTTTTTTAAAGCCTCTGGTTTTTAGTTTTTTACGCCGCAGATTTGTAGAACTATTTTTTAATTTCAGAGCGAATATTCCCAAAGGGATGTTATCTCCTAATCGATAAAAGGAGGTAGGTTTGAATAACACAGGTGACACGACCCAAAAGGATTCTAGTAAAATTGAAAATCATTTCGCATTCACAAAAAAAAATCGTTTTTTTTTCTCATCAAATGCAGTGGGAAAAAACATTAATTTCAACATTTCCTTCCTGGTTTTTTTCCCCTAAACTACATACATATAGAAAAATTTATATTTTCCCCTTGAAAATTAGTTTTTGTATAATAATTCTTTTGTTTCGGTTTTTGTAATTTTTTCGGTCTCCATAAAACAATTGTCTTCCGTTTTTTATTGTTAAATTGAAATTATAAATTATTTTGTTTTCTAGAATCAAAATTTATTTAATTTTTTTTAAGTTGAATGAAGAATGTGTAATATATTTGACAATGTTTTTCACAAACTGATTGTTTATATTTCAGTTGGGAAAATTGGACTTTATAGGTTGAATTTACAAGTTTTGGACAGCATCTTCACGAAATGACTTGAGAACTTTTTCTTCCCTTGGCACGACCTTTTGTTATCTAGATTTCCCAGTTCTCTTTATTTTTGTCCATCTAACATCCCCCCCTTCCACTTCTTTTGCTGCCTCGGTGGATTCGAGTTAAGAAAAATTTATTGTTCAAGTTTTCGTCTCTAGAATATAACAGGACACACTCTTGAAAAGGTCATTTCAAAACTCTTCCGCAACAATATCAAAACCTACAACTAAAAGTCCCTTATTCCTCGACCAATTTGACAATATTCTTGGTGCAATAAACGTTTTAAAAAAATTATGTCATAATTTCATATCAGTTGTGTTATTTTTATCTTCTTGAGTTTTTTTTTTTTTATTTATTTATTCAATAAAGAAATAACTAATCCGAACGTATTGTATTTTTAAGCCGGTTGTATGTCTAAGGGTTTCTCGAATAATGTATATAGCTCTCTGTCCCTTCTTTCGAACCCTCACACATACAATCTAGTCGAACAATGGGAACAATAAAAGGTCCTTATCTCCTTTTATACTGAACAGCTTTTCAGAAAAAAAGCTGCTCAGTTTCTTCTTTACGTCACCCCTCACTGAAGAAATGGCGAAAAATTAATTTGTCCAACATTTAGTATAAAAAAATTGATTTGAAATTTTGTGCCAAAAACTGAAAATTGTGGGGGAATATTTTTTACGAAGTGAATATTTAATAAGATTCATTTATTTAAATATTTTCCGCATTTTTAAAAGTCTCGGGAAAATTGTAAAGAGAGACAGTAAATTTTTATCTTGAAGTTTACATATATAAGAAGTTTATGGAGTCATATAATGTTTGAAAATTTTATCGTCAAAATGGAAGCACAGTATATATTTTAAAAAATGTATGTGCGGATACTTTGGTCAAAATAGCTGCAAATAAATTTAAATTTTTTGTTATCGTATACGTTATTTTATTCTTTTTTTTTTATCGTAGAGCTGAATTCAACATCGCCATCGACGAGCGAATTTGAGGAATTGACGAGTGACCTCGAAAGTGATGAGTTAAGCAATGACAACGAAGAAGATGAGGAGGATGTTCTTTATATGCGTGGATCGTCATTTACGATACACCTTGACTCATCAGGAATGGAAAATTTTACTGAAAATTTCACGAGCAACGAGGAATCAGATAACGAGATTCCTCAAGGAACACAACTGCGACCTACATCACAAGTAAGTTTTATATCATCATTATTGAGATGGGGAAAAGAAAAATTTTAAAAAAAATTCTTCTCTTATACTTTATTTAAGACCGATGATAAAAAAAATAATTACAATTTGATTAACATATTTTTATATTTTGACTTTTATTTTCTTTTTGTAACTTTTTTTTGATGATGAAAATCTATTCGAAGAAGTTATTACCTTTTTTGAGAACGTGTTCCCTTTAATTCACTAAAAATCGAATGGATTGTTGATAGGTAGCATTGAAAGAAAATTGCTTTCGCCGATATTCATCTTAAATCCTTTTTCTTACTGCCTTTTTTTTGCTTCCTCTCCTTTTAGGGTCCGAATTTGGAACAAAAGCTTCCCTCAACGACAGAAAGAGTCTTGAGTACCGAATCTACTTGTTCTTTGGAATGTGGACCTGGAGGCAACTGTTACATAGAGGAACTTCGAAGTGACGACGACGATGACGACGAGGAAGACGACGAGGGGGAGGAAAACCTTTTCGAAGGAAACGACTTCGCCACGTCGAGACGAAAGCAAGAGTCCTTGAGGCAGAGGTGTCAATGCCCTCTTGGCAAAGGTGGCGATCGATGTCAGCATGGTGAGTGATTTCAATTTGCATGCCTATGGATAATTTAACACTCTTTTTTTATTTAGTTTCATTTCTTTTTTTAGTTCTTTTTTATTTTAAAATTAAATTTTTATTAAAGAACATTTGAAAATAATGTGTGTGCGTGTGTGGAAAATATTTCTCGTTTCTATGTGGTTGCGGTACAGTTTGACTCTCTTGTTTCTAGATAGTTGAACTATTTTGAAACTATTTAGATTATTTAGAAAGGTCAGGACAGTTAGATTGTCTAGTTTCTAGATATTTTAACTATTTAGAAACTATTCAGAAAGTTCAATACAGTTTTACTATTTAGTTTCTAGGTAGTTAAACTACATAGAAACTATCTAGTGCATAGATTATTTAGAATAGATTTAGAATAGTTTTGCTAGATAGAATCTATCTAGTTTTTCAATGGAAAACACATTAAAATCAAAAGAAGAAAAAGTGGATCGTTAAAATTAATATGGTAGTTTTGAGAATTTAGTTTATTACATAACTCGTGCTAAACGAAGCATGCAAAAGATTTTTTTGATTTCTTTGAATTTAAATTAGCTGAGAGTTGGAACTTCCCCTCGCCGTCTTATTGAAATAAAAAAGTTTTTGAATTGAACATTCGATCTTGATTGCTCTTAATCTCATCATAGTTCATAGAGCTCTCTCTCTCTCTTTCTCTTTCTCTCTCTTGCAATACAACTTCTCCATGGCTTTGGAAGTTTGAATTTCGTTCCTTTTAATTGGATTCCAGTATACACTATAATTACTAGATTTGGATTATGCTCGGAATTGTAGACAATAAAGAAATAGGAATATATGTACACAATAATTATTGTTCGCAATCTAAATTTATATTTTCACTTGAAAATGATTTTTTTGTGACAAATGTGTCTGATTTCAAATACGTAACTTTTTTTATATTCTGTAGAACAAATTTGGAAACTTTAAATTTTATAACATTTCCTCTGCGATGTTGTGCTTAATGGAAAGCTTACAAGCCTCAATGCAGCAACTTTAGAAGTCATAAAATTTAAAGACCCTTCTAGAAAGCTTCAACGCTTCCAGTTTTAAATTTTGCAAACTTCAGGAACCACTTTAGGATTCCCTCTATTTTTAAATGTTTTATCTTTAATCCTTCATATATGTACTTTTAGTTTCGTTTTTCTTTTTTTTATAGTATTGCGCGAATTTCAAAGAGTCTAATAGAGAAATCCAGTTCAATTTTTATTCTGTAATCTGTTTTTTAAAATTCGAAAATTGTCATTCTGGAGTGAAAAGGAAGTAATTAAACGAGTGGCAATTGGAGAATTTTTTTTCCACCTGATTGTACACTGAATTGTCGATTGTATTAACAATTGGAGAAACAAACAGTCCGGCAAATATGGTTGAGCTGCTCCACCGGAAACTAGTAGTCGAATTGAAAGTGGAAACTTCCGAGTTGAGAGAGAGAGAGATAGAAGGGGGTGGCGTTGATTCTCAATCGGAGTCTCTTTTGAACGGAAACTTTCCAGTCTCTCAACATCGACAACGAGAAACTTTCTCACAACTACTTCTCAATTTTCCTTGTTCGTTACTTCATTTTGAGTCTGTTGATTTGAACCTTAATAATTTCTCCCAATATACATGGTATAGAATACACTCTCAATTGTTAAAAGGTTTTTATCTTCTAGTTTTGAAAAGAATTTTATTTATAATTTATATTTGACAGAATTCGTAAAAAGTCGAATTTTTGTTTTACAGAACTTCCATTTGTCCGAATAAATATTTTGTCCTTGATTCGAGAGAGGTTATTATATTATGTGAATTTTCCAATACATAAACATATATAAGATAGTGTTTCGCGAATAGTGTTGGAATATTCTGCAATTTGGATACAGAACAGTGTTCGCTCATTAAATACGGTCGCAGCAAAGTCCTTTCCGTTATTGTAGTTACATAGTAACAAGTATTGGTTGGCTTACTGGCAAACGGCCAAAATGGCGTCCCGCACGCTAGATTAAACAGATTAACCGCACGCTCCTCCAGGTCCGAAGTATACGCGGACCTTGCCTTTCTAGAGACGTCGTTAAAAGCTCACTGTTTGCCGATAAATCCAATCCACGAGACTTATATAAGAATTGATTGCATGACTCTAACAAATGGAGATTCTTAACTCCCCCATTTTTTCGCAAATTTTTCTATTCGCAAATCGATTTCAAAAAATTATTATGAAAACTACATAGAATAACTGTCCTAACCTTTATAAATAGTCTAGATAGTTTCCATATAGTTTAACTATCCAAAAACTATATAGTTTCCATACAGTTCTCCTACTTAGAAACTAGACAGTTTTCATATCTAGGAAGTTATTCGTCGCAGCGTTACATTTTTAGCTAGTTTCTGTATATTTCAACTATACAATTACTATTTAGAAAATGTTGTAAATATATAGTCTAAATTACAGATATAAAATTGATAATTTTTAAACTAGATTCTGCTTTTAAATCGATTAAATTTTTTTTTAATTGTTATTTTGTTAATAAGGAATGAAATTCGTGAAACTGGACCAATTGTCGAGGGCAATGTTCATGGGCGTCAACGGGATTTTATTTCAAATGCGGGAAATGAGTCTGTGCTTTATTCAGTCAAGTGAAAATGTTGATCGGAATAGGATGTGCCCGAAGTGCGGGCACTCTGTCAGATTATTTACATATGAAAAGGTATTAAAGGAACATGCTTTTGGTACTGATCAATGCTATCTAAAATGAATGTGTGTTATATCCACAAAAATTACGATTTTCTTTCTTTTTTTTATTCAATAATTCAGAGTATTTTAATTAAAATGTTTAGAGTAAAACAAAAAAAATACAAGTTATGTTACTTATTCAAGTAATTAATTTAATTATTTAATTAACAATATGGGAAAATTAGATATTACTAGTGAAATATTAAGTAACAATAGATTTCCACATGTTCTGAATATTGCTCGAAAATACACTGACCTCGACTTTAGTAGGGGTCATCACGCAATAGAACTGATTTAGTCTCCACATACATATGTATTATCTAATCTTGTGTGTAACCACAGCATGTTTGCAATTCTCCATTCATTTGAGATCATTTTGCAGTACATCGTATATATCTTAAAGAGAAGTTCTCTTATTAGTTTCACGTTACAGAAAAAATGGCGCCATTTTCATCTTTACTTTAGTTTTCATAAAAATTTGGAGCAAAAACGGAACTATTTTAATTTTTGCTTCAAATTTTTTGTAAAACTAGAGTAACTAGAATTTCTATCTAGTTTTTATCTAGTTTCTATTCTAGTTTCTATATAGAATATTTAGAAAGGTCGGGGTAGCTTTTATAAATTCTATTTTAGTTTCGACATAGAATATTTAGGAAGATCTTGACAGTTATGTTCTATCTAGTTCGATTTCATGGTAGAAATTGACAGCTAGAAATATGGATTATTGAATTTTTAAATATCCCTTAAAAATCTCTATTCATATTATTTATATTTGAATCACAATTATTATTCGAATTCCGTTGGCGCTACAAATTTTGCTTAAATGTCCATTTGATAAATTGCCGAAAATTGGAACTATAAACAGAGAGAATTTGCGACTATGTAATTTATAGCCCTTTTTTAATGGTAAATTTGAGTTCTTCGCACTTTATACGTATATATGTTCAAAACAAATATATAATAAACAAGTAAACATTTTTTTCTGTCAAAATATATTAGGTAAATATTATCTTGAATTAATGAGGTGAACAAAATTTTTCAAAATTAAATTGATTCGTTTAATCATATGCATAACCTCAGGGCATTTGTATATATTCAATAAACAACAGTGCGAAAGTGAAAAACTTGCAAAAGAATTGAAAATTAAGAATTTAACATTCAAACATCATTCTATAGAGTCATATTTTTCACTTTTCTTTAATTGTTTTCAATTTGCAATTTCTTTATCGATAAGGTGTCATCTAGTTCACCTGTTTTCGAAATTTTAGTAAATCATTGAAGAAATAGAAAAGTTTTCATTCAATTAAAACATGTAGAATGTAAAACATTCGCTTTTTGAAATTGCTATAAAAGAATAAAAAAAAAGGGGAAATCTTTTGTCGGATTTGATGTGTCGTGTATAGTAGAAAAAAAACCGGTGCGTGTGCAAGAGAGGTTACACAGCGGTTGACCTATGGAATTTTTATTGAAATTCTCGGCGTTTTTCCACCTCAAGCCCTCGAATGCAAGGGTGTGCGTGGTGTATATGTGGATAGTTACGGGCAATGCTCAGTCTGGCAATAACAAGACCCCGAAAGGACCGCATTATTTTCACGAGTTGTAGTAGTAGCCACGTACTTTGTTTTCCCCCCTATTTTCGAGTCTTTTGCTCTTTATGTGTTTGCCCTATCACCTCTCTATTTTCTTTTTTTTCGGAGGGAAAAAAAATCCCGTTTCTCAACTTGGCCCTTCAGCAACAGGCGATGCAAGTCAAAACAATTTTTCGATTTATAGTGTAAATTATTGTTCATTGGTGGAAAAAACGGTGCTATTCTGTAATTTCACTTCACTTCATTTCATTTTTAGTTTAGTACACTTCACCATACTTTCACCTCACTTTCACTTCACTTTTAGTTTACTACACTTCACCTCTACTTCATCTTACTTTCACCTCACTTTCACTTCACATTAATTTGGGTTGACTTCACTTTAGCTGGTTTGACTTTTAGTTTATTACACTTCACTGTGATGTGAAAGTGAAGTGAACCGAATATGAAGTAAAAATGAAGTGAAGCGAACCGATAATAAAGTGAAAGTGAAATGAAGTGAAATTACAGAATAGCACCCCAGGTGTTTCTAGATTGTATCGCTACAAAGCAATTATTTGCATACGTGTTAAATTATGTAGTCGAAAATTAACTTCCATGTGGTTCTATATAATTGAAGATATCTTCTGGGTGTTGTTTGGAATGAATTATTATAACTGGTTCTTTATAAATTATTGAAATGATTA